TATAAAGTGAACAACATATTTACATAATACTGACATATTGATATAAAGTGAACAACATATTTACTTTATACCGACAAATTAGTGTAAAGTGAACAACATATTTACTTGATACAGACATATTAGTGTAAATGAACAACATAGTTACTTTATACCGACAAATTAGTGTAAAGTGAACAACATATTTACTTGATACAGACACATTGGTATAAAGTGAACAACATACTTACTTGATACAGACATATTAGTGTAAAGTAAACAACATATTTACTTGATACAGACACATTGGTGTAAAGTAAACAACATATTTACTTGATACAGACACATTGGTGTAAAGTGAACAACATATTTACTTGATACAGACATACTGGTATAAAGTGAACAACATATTTACTTGATACAGACATATTGGTATAAAGTAAACAACATATTTACTTGATACAGACATATTGGTATAAAGTGAACAACATATTTGCATAATACTGACATATTAGTGTAAAGTGAACAACATATTTACTTGATACAGACATATTGATGTAAAGTGAACAACATATTTACTTGATACAGACATATTGATATAAAGTGAACAACATATTTACTTGATACAGACATATTGATATAAAGTTAACAACATATTACTTGATACAGACATATTGTATAAAGTAACAACATAGTTACTTGATACAGACACATTGGTGTAAAGTGAACAACATAGTTACTTGATACAGACACATTGGTATAAAGTGAACAACATATTTACTTGATACAGACACATTGGTGTAAGATGAAAAACATATTTACATGATAAAAAGCGTATTGATGTAAAGTGAACAACATGTTTACTTAAAAAAGACATATTGGTGTAAAGTGAAAAATATATTTACTTGATAAAAAGCCTACTGATGTAAAGTGAACAACATATTTACTTGATACAGACATATTGGTGTAAAATGAAAAACATATTTACATGATAAAAAGCATATTGATGTAAAGTGAACAACATGTTTACTTAATAAAGACATATTGGTGTAAAGTGAACAACATGTTTACTTAATAAAGACATATTGATGTAAAGTGAACATTTATAATTAATACACATAAAATGATATTACGTTAACAGAATGTTTAATTTGTAAAGATGTTGATATGATATTAACATAATGTGTAGTTCATACAGACATACTAATATGATGTTAACAGAATATTTAATTCATACAGACATGTTAATATGATATTAATAGAATGTTTAATTCATAAAGACATTAGTATGATGTTAATATAATGTTTAGTTCATACAGGCATTTTGTGAGGCCCGGAAAAAAAATTGTAACTTTTTCTGAAGTCATGTAAGGTGAATTTTGAATATTCTTAATAAAAAAATTATTTACTAACTGTGCCTTATTGAAAAGGAAGATTACTCTACAGTATATTGTATTTATTCTTTGTTATAATAAACCAAACTCTAATCTGTGACCATGAAGATAAACCAAGCTCTGATCTGTGACCATGAAGATAAACCAAACTCTAATCTGTGACCATGAAGATAAACCAAGCTCTGATCTGTGACCATGAAGATAAACCAAACTCTAATCTGTGACCTCTTCATG